ACACACACACACACACACACACACACGTTTAAAGACTTTCTTTCTCCTCATCTATATTCTCTCTTTCAAACACACTCCAGCTCCATCACCTCCATCTCCGCCTGTTTCCTGTAGTCATGGTCCCACAGCGCCACCTTGCGGTCCTTGCCTCCTCCGGACACCATGGTGCCGTCCTTCAGGACACATAAGGAGAAGATCCCGCCCTCGTGGGCCCCCGACACCACCTGGCTGATACGGTTACCACCTGTCAATCACAAACAGGAGTCACTCACTTGGATTCGTTTTGTTTTCAAATTGTAGTCATATTCAACTAAGTAGCACAAAAAAATGTTTCTTACATGAACAGCATTGGAGATTTAAAGGTTTGGCTGAGAAGGATTTATTCAGATTTTACCTTTGGCCCAGACGTAGATGTTCCCACTGGAGTCTCCTGTAATGGTGTCTCCGTTCTGAGCAAACGCCACGCACAACACGTACTTTGGTTTCTCATGTTTCTTGAGAGAAAACAGAAACCGAGAAAGAGAGAGATGACATGAGGATCAGTTTGTTTTAGCTGACTGTACTTAATCAAACACTAGTTTTGAGGTTGTCGGGTGCGTTATAATTGTTTTCATACTTCGAACAGTCCCTGTCTCTTGGACAGAGTGTTTCCCTCCACGGTCCAGAAGTTAATGTGAGATTTTCCACAGGTGACGATCAGGTTGGCGTCCATGGGATGGAACATGGCGCCCAGAACAGAGTCATTGGAGCACTGCAGAGATGGAACGCAGGAAGATGAAGACATGGATCTCTCATAGATTTTACAAACATTTTTATTCCTTCTGGTAATTTAAAAGGTTTGGTAATTATAATTTCAAACCAGGAAGTGGTATCCATAATGATAGGTATAAATGGGATACGGGTCAAAGGTCAAGGGTCAGGATACCTTCACATCAGCCAGTTGTTTCTCCTTCTGCCAGTTCCAGACGGACAGGATGTGATCGTTGGCATCGTCCACGGCACAGAGGAAGGCGCCGCCGTTCTGAAAAGAAAAATAAGGAGTTAGGTCTTAAATAAATTGATGGATTTATTAAACAAACTAATGTGAACCACCAGTCAGTCCTTCACTAAACTCTGCAGGACGTGAAGCTGCTCACCGACTTGGAGAAAGCGACACAAGTGACCGCTCTGTCAAACACTCCCATCCCGATCACGTGGAGCGTGTTGAGACTCACAGAATCCCAAACCCGAACATGAGGAGCCAGCAGCTGAGCAGAGACGTGACAGAGTAAATAAAAACAATCTCATTTTATAATTACAAACAAAATGTGAGATTAGAAATATTATTTTTTTTCAGATTTTTTTCTAATTTCTTTTCAAATCTTCATTCAATGCAAATTGTGTCAACTCCTTCTTCTTAATAGTAAAACACTTGCTTTCAATAGAATCGAATCTCATAAAAACTGCAAGAGACAAACATCTGGTTAAAAATGTTTTAAATCATTGGAATTTAAAAATAATTTTATCAAGAGCAAAACTATGTCTGGACAAAAACAAAGGAGGAGAAAGTGTGTTTTTCACGCTACCTTTCCATCTTTAGAATTTCCAGCCATCTGCCCCGTTGCTATAGTAACCATGTCAGGATGTACACTCAGGCTGTTAAGAGGAAAAATATATATAATATTATCTCATCTTCATTTTGCTGCAGCTTTTGATATCCACTGATTTATATTGACAAGATAGTGTAGGAAAATAATAGGAATCCTCAAACATTTGTTAAAAAAACATATTGACACTTAAATGTTTTTGAATATTTTTCATGTAAACTAAAGTTTATTGAAGTGCACACCACAGTTTTATCATTTTGGAGTTGGACTCGATACGACGGCGTGGGAGAGGAGACTACAATTTTTTCTCTGCAGAGAACAACATCTTTCCCACCATGCCCTGGGGGGATTGGGTTTGTTTACGTCCCAGTGGCTCCAGTCAGAGCTCATTCAGGAAGTCCACTGATTAATAAATCCATTAATGTCAAGACGTCACCGACACGAAAACAAGAGCGATGAGAGACATGGAACCTCGACTGTTTGAAATTTGAAATGTTGAGGTTCACAAGGAAACGTCTGAGTTTCGGGCCAATGCTGCCACATGAATGAGAATAATAATATTGTATGACAAAATTACCCTCAGACAAACAATAATACCCACATTCCAATAAAATATGATGAATCCATCTTTTAGATACTACTAATAATCAGTGTAGTAAAATAGGTAATTCATCCTACGTCTGTGTTCTGTTTGTTTTGAAGATGTCTGTGAATACGGATGATGAATCTCTTCTTACAAGAAAAAACATGTCTGTCTAAATGTTGACTACATGTTTCATGACAATATTTAATTATTAACTGTGACTCACTCACTTCCTCCCATCTCGCAACACTGGTTTTGACTGAAAAATAGACGCGGACGACCAACGGAGAAATAATAAATTAGATATAATAAATTAATTCGTTCTGCTGTTTTCTCACCATTTGACATCATCATTGTGGCCCAGGTAGTGTCTCTGCTGCTGCTCCTCCGTGTTGTACAGAACCACCACGGAGGCGTTGAAGTAGACGATCTCTCCTGTGGGCAGCAGGTAGAGGTTGGAGCGACAGTCACGACCACGGTAGCCGTACCTGGTCCACGATAAGTTAGGGAACACGACAGGAGGGAGCTGGAGAGCCAGAATATTCTCAGGAGTTTAGTGCTTTTTACCACACGTTATTCTACTTTAGCAATTTCTGGATGAACAACAAATAAAAAGCTTCAGGTTCAGACCTGCAGCATCAAGACCACATTTTAGTTAACATCCAAGCAGAGAAATAAGAAAAGATATGGCAAAGATTTTACATAATTAAAGAAATTAATATGGTTTGCAACAAAAAAGGCTATTTCTGTATTTCTACATGTATTTCATTTGTTGTCCTTCATAGTACAACCCGGCCATTACTCCACTCTATCCACATTACATCCACCCAGTTTGTTTGAAGGATACACCCACTGCAGTTTCAGCTTGCGGTTCGGCAGCGCCACCTTGGGGTCCAGGCTGTAGCTCTCCCTCTGCTGGTCGGGGAGATGCATGGTGACGGGACGTCCTCGCAGGAACATCCTCACATATCCGTCCTCTGACAGGGAGAAGAGAAAAGAGATGGACGTGTTAGGAAAGGAAGGAACAAAAGGGGGAGACAGGATACACGTCTCATTTTCTGAACTTGAAAACATTATAGATTGATAATATCTACAGTTTTTTCATTGGTTATGTTCTTGCTCTTTTATTCTGGAGAAATAGCTTGTTAGAATCCCACAGTGAAAACCAGCCAAATAAAATAGGACACAGAGGAAAAGCCCTGTCAGCTGTAGTGATCAAACATGAGAATCCAATTCTTCATTAACTTTTAATCAATACAAAAGCTTCAAAAAAGAACACATACTCTGTAGTTCCTCTTTCTTTCCACTGATAACTGCTGGTATTATAATACGATGCTTCAGAAGTCAGTTCTTCTATTAAAGACAGATTTCCAAGGGGAACCTCTAAAGAATGTTTGATATTTCTAGCAAGAATTAATGGGTTGAAATGACAGAAAAAAAAATACTTTCAGAAAGCCTCAAGGCTCCTTCAGCCTAATTAAGTGTCACACATCGTCTTCTTCTTTAAAGCAAATTTAATTTGAGGGTAAAACATAACGAATGCAGTCTAATTAAATCAGACACACAGAGACTTTCACACACAAATAGAAAGCTTCAGCTTCTCACCTGCATTCAAGGAGCATTCTTTGGATTTGCTGAAAAAGAAGAAAATGGAGAAATGAATGAAGCTTCTCCCGTGAAGTTTGATCTGCAGCTCAGCTCTGTCAATATCAACGCCATCATCAACACTACACACAGAATATTGAAGTGTTTATTAAAGCTCCTGAGGCTTCAGGCCTTCCTATAAGATTGTGAATTATTTATTCTTCTTTCTTCTTCTATGCTGGAACCGTCCCCACTCGGCTTCACAGTAACTGAACAATGAGCTGCAGAGTTCACACAGTCAGGAACAGTCGTGCACCTTCTCTGAAAACTCTTTATTATTATCAACAAGAATGTTCAACCTTAAAACATTTTTTTCACGTGGAGAGGATAGAGAACAGGTACAAACTCCAGTGAAGAAGAAAAACTGTTCCCATCTTTTACTGCTGGGAAAACTATTCCCCCCCTAAAATGAATCACTTTATTTTAAGACACACAGATCAGCTTTTCTCTCATGAATAAAGACGTCTTTAATGTTGCTGAGGACAGCAAATGATAAAACAAGCAAACAGAGACGTCCCGTGAATGTGAAGCTCAGACAATGTGACACGAGAGAGGGAGGATGATGGACGGAGAATCTCTGCACTTATTAGAAAAAACCAAAACTGACGACCAGTGATTCAGACACAATTTCCCTCATCAGACCCGTCACTCAGAACCTGTCGCTGCCTCATCACTTTACAGTCGCAGCTGGTCCTGAATCAGCTGTCTGTCAATCACCCAGAGCCGCCCCGCTGCTGACCGCCCACCCTAACCTGCCAGGAGGCCGTCAGACAATCAGATTATCAGAATGCTGGCAGCGCTGCCTGAGCTGACAGGTGGAAATCACCGTGGCAACAGCAGTCAAAGTAAGGCTTGATAAGATAAAGGGAGCGTCTTTTCCTGCTAGGCAACAGGAGACAGGAAGGTGAGCCAACAGAGAAAACAGCAGCAGAATAAACTCCCCAACAAGCAAACAGACACTGGCGAAAACCTCCTGAGAAAAAGGGAAAAGACACACAACATGCAAAAAATGGTGACAAAGTTTGTACACTGTGTATTTACACAATTTTCTATTTTTATATATTTCTTTTTATTTCTTTAATCTTTCTTTTAAAATATTTGTATGCCGGGAGATTGAACAACAAAATAAGAGTTTCATTACACGCTGTAAACTGTTTTTATCTGCTGTGTGTATGACAACAAACATCTTGAATCTTGAATGTTTTTTTTGTATCACAATATATTTTAGTGTCCATCTGTATTTACAGTTGAAGGTTCCAACACTTTGTGCTTGTGTTAAATCTGAAGTCTAAGAACCAGGATGAGCAGTGTGTGTCTACACAACCTGGCATTTGTTTAACAGGGAGTTACCTGGAAAAGCCTCAGTGTCTCTGAACAAGTCAGGTCAGGTTTTAATTCTGTCTCGTCAAGCTACAGTGTGTTTTTGCAGAGAGAGGAGGGAAGCCATCGGAGCATTTGTCTCTACCCAAGCTATGTGAAGCCTCTGAGAAAAGATTAAAAGAAGAACTGCGGAGTAAACAGTCGACTGATCTGAGGAGCGGCTGTTGTGTCTCTGGTCAGCTGGAGGCGAGCAGCTCTGTGAAGTAACCACATAAAGGCCTGTTTGTCTCTCTCTCTCTCTGTGTGTGTGTGTGTTTTTAGTCTGCCAGTAAGCTGAGGCATGGCCTGGTTCTAGCCAATGAGAGAACGGTGATTGATCCAGAGCCTGTAATTAGTGCAGGGGCATGCTGGGTAACTGGCAGAGCCCATGAGGCTGCAGTCCGTGTCAACAGGTTTCCAGGGAGTGGGAATGCACAAACAGACCGACCACTCACTAACATGTAGCACTGACCTGCCTGCTCTCTGGAAACAGAGAACAAGAGGACTAATGGCGAGTCAGGGTTCCTCTGAGAAACGCTGCATCATGGGAGAGTTTGGTAAACGTCAGGATCCAGTAACTTTGTGAGGAGCTTTGTTGGGAACATGGACCCTGTATTAACATCTGTCCTGAGAGATCCCATCACGAGTGTTCATCTCTAAGTTGGTGTGTTCACAGCTGGTATTTAAACACTTCCTGTCTCCTGTGACCACATGTGATTGGATCTCAATAACTCACTTTTTATGCAAATAAGCACTTACGCCTACAATATACAGAAATTGTGTTTCAGTAGAGATAACTCTGCAGGTGATGGACCAGACCAGATACAGATCATAACTGTTTTCAAGCCTTTTTCGACAAAGTCACTGCGCCGGCATAAAAATTTAAGGATCAAAACTATGTAACTAAGCATGAAGCTTTTATAGAATTACATTCACTGCAGGTCACATTTGCAGTTTCACAAAGAAAACTGCACCTCATTCCAAACAGGCAGGTTTAGAACAAACACCGCACTGTGTCTTTTAAAAGTGTTTTCCTTGTCTGGTGCCTTCTGCTGAACAGAACATGTTTTTGATGTTGCAGGGTTGTTAAATATTTGCTATCAATGAAAGATTATTTATCAAGTCACATGTGCACATTTCCTGAGGCTTCTGTTTCATCCAAATTCAAACTGGATGCATGATCCTCTCTTTAATAACATATGATATGATATGATGAGGATCCGTTTTAGCAAAATGCTTCATGCAGCTGAGCGACTGCAGCGATCACAGTGACGCAGGCGGAGATGAAATGGATGCTGCGGTCCAAGTGATGGTCATAACCTCCTGAACCGTGTGAGTGGTGGGAACAGTGGAGTGTTCTGGCTCCATTATGACTGAAGTACTGCGGTGGCTCTGTTAATGGACACAGACACATCTGACCAGACTTGTCTACTCTGACAGTAACAGACAATGCAGTGTATTCAAGAGGGGAAGTGAAAGAGGAAAAGATCTCAATCTCAATAGATTATTCTATTTTTTAACTTACTCTGTTTTCAGGAAAATGTATTTATTTTAGTTGTTTAAAGCGTATTAACTTTAAAAAAGATTATATCGGGGCTAAAACTGCACAACATAAAGTTTTGATTAAAAATTTAATTTAATATGGATAAGATTTCTTTGTGGTTCAGTTCCAGAGACACAACAACAGGATAAAAATCTCTTTTTGCATAGACTCTCACCTGTTAGAGTTGTTATCTTTGAGTTTAAGGATATATTCATTTTAGTTTAAAGAGATAAGAGTCTTTTTGGTGCAACATGCGTCTCTGACTGCAGAGACGCAGTGAATATATTTGCTCCATGTTAAACAGGAGGTGCGATCGATGCCGTCAGTGTTTCTGCATGCTGAGCAGAATTGGTAATCGTAACATCAGTCCGTCTGTCTGTGGCCATGATGCTGCACATCCATGTGTCCATTAAGAAACCGTCTCTGCAGCATTTTGTGTAGACGCTGAGTTAAAAGCTGTCCTGCACGCTCAGGAAATTAATGAGTTGATTAGAACCACAATGGGAATTCTTCCTGATAAAAATGTGCATCTACAGTGGGTGATGTGAGTCTGTGTAATACTCAGTCCAGAGCAGCTGAGCACAGTGTGACTTCGCTTCACATTCTCTCTCATATCTACATGTGTGATTCATAACTGAACTGGAATGTGATGAGAATAATTTGTTCCAAAGATCATTAGAGGAACAAAGGAGCCACTGATGACACGTTAACAGACAAATAAATCATAAAACATGTGTGTGACGTGATGACAAACCTCTCGTTAACAACACATTTAGAAAACAACTCTTCTTTGTTTTCATTAAAGTCAGATGTTCTTAAAGATGTTGTTCAAACCAAAAACCTCTGGGAATTTGATGACCACAAATGTCTACTTTCTATTGTTTTCTTGTTACTGTTGCTGCAGCTCTCCACACAGGAAAAAAAAACCCTCTGCATCGAACTGCTTGCTTGACAACAGAGTTTCATGAGACAACACGACTTCCATGTGTGGTTGTGAAGCCACACAACAGCCTCTGAAAAGAGCAACTGCAGCTTTTTACAAACCACACTGAGCTTCACTGTTTAATCTATTCAAATATTAGTTAAACGATAAATGAGGGCGAGCTGGGTAGGACTTCTAATAGAGCTTTTTCTGAAATTGACTTTAAATGCTGCCTTCTGCATTTTGAATAAAAGTTATACAACATTTACTTCATGGTTTTGCAGTGAATCATTAAGAGCTTCTCCTGTACAAAAAACCTTTACCCATAAACCATCTCTGTTCCCAGTCTCTCTGTCAATCATTGATTAACTATTGTAAATCAGCCGTTTACCTTGAGGACCTCTTCATGTCGGCGGATTGTCCGTTATAGTCGACAGCTGAGAGCAGTCAGAGCAGTTCCTGTTCTGTTCAACAGTCACAGCCACAAAACAACTTCCTCCTGCTCTCTGCAAACTTCTAGCTCTGCCCGAGGCCCTGTCAGCCAATCACAGCGCACTTCCTGACTGTGCTAACCCGCCCCCTCATGCATGGTAACCACAGCCCTCCCTCCCTTAACAAGAGCTGCATGAAATGTGATCCATCAGCAGAAGAGAGGGGAGAGGGGAAGAGAGGGGGTAGGGGAGAGAAGAGAGAGGAGGAGATGAAAAGTAAAGGGAAAGAAAGGACAGGATTTAATAGGAAAGGAAAGGAAAGTAGAGGAGAGGAAAGAAAATGGAAGTATAGGGCAGGAAAGAAGAGAGGAGATAGAAAGGAAATGGAAATGAAAAGGATAAATGAGAGGAGACAAGAAGAGAGTAGAGGACAAGTGTCTCTGTGACAGGTGGATACTTCACTGTCTGTCAGACTCAACAGAAGAGCTGACTATGCAACAGCTACATATGATGATGAGACATATTTTAGTGACAGTGATGAAGACGATGATGAAGGTGGGTTTCTCTCTCTCTCCTCTCACAGTCTGAATAATTAAAACCTCTCAAACATCATGAGAGCAGCTTTAAAGTTGAAGAAACTCATCATCATCAGCAGATCTCACACTGGAGACTGAAACACCAGCATTCAAATCAGACACTGATGATGAATATTATACATGATAAATAAATACAAAACACAACATAGGAATCATTGCCAATTTAAGAAATATGAATATATACTGGTAGTAGATTTCTCTAATATTGGGATTGCCCCCCCAAAAGAGACTCTTCTCTAAGACTCTACTAATAATAGTAAAAGCAGAGTATCTGTGTTGATAGGGACAATGTTTCCTGCCTCACAGGAAAAATATGAAGATGAAATGAAATTCATTAAGATGCAGCAAAAACTGAAACAGAGTCACTTTCAAAATAGTGAAATTCATTTGAAGCTGCAGCTCTAAAGCCTTAAAGTTGAAAAATGTCTCAACATTATGAGATGGTTTCATTTCAAATGTGCATGGTCAGAACAAGTCAGAGGCTGATTGGCCACTTTATCACCACGTTCCGGAGAGCAGATCCCACATCAGATCATCAGATCTCTACATGCCCCAAAATGTCATGCACATAGGTTCAGTTTGAATAATCCTGATGGCAAACAGGAGGTGATGGGAATATAACCTCCCTGTTGGAGGTAATAAACTCCAGTCTGACCTCAGTTACTTTTCTACAGCTACAGTTAACTTCAAGCAAGTTTGATTCTCCGTCTTTCCATTTTGTGCGGCTGGAGCGTATCCCAGAATGCATTTAGAAGGAGAAAGGCAGCACCTATCATTGCTGTGTTGAGTGCTGTAACATTACAAATGTGATTATATACTGTAAATTTTAAACATTAAGTATCCTGAAAAAAACACTCTTTAGTTATTCAAGTTCCAAACAAACACCTTCAAGCAGAAAATGTTATAAATTCACGTGACATCATCAGGATCAATTGTTAAAGATGATTTTGATGAAAACCCTGGAGACAGTATTTATACCTCCACCAAGGAGGTTATGTTTTCACCCCCGTCAGTGGGTTTATTTATTTGCAGGATTACGGAATAACTACTCGACCCATTTCCTCAAAATCCTGTTACCTTTTTCCACCGGAGGAGCTGCTGGAGGAGGTGGTTCGACTCCGACTCTCTGCTCCTCTCTCCCTCCTCACCAGTGTGAGACGCTCTGTGGACATACTCTTCCTAAAAGAAGATAAATAAAGTTTCAACAGAAAATATACATAGTTATTTACTTAAAATATCAACATCAATATGCGTCATTTCCACATTGTTTATTCTGTAAAATAAAAGTTTTCATATCAGCGTTAAAATATTTATTTGTCTGTGAAAAGTTCATCTTGGACAATTTTTATTCAGGCTCTAATATCAACTAGTGTAAACAACAACAACAGCAGAATAGTTTTTACTGTTTCTCTAGGCTTCACATGACGTCCTAGCATAAACACATTTGTATGAGTTTTCTTTTCTTACCTCTTAATGGACTGCAGCACTTCTTTCTTAGGAGAAGACGGGGAGGAGAGGAGGCGTTTCTGTTGAGTGTAGCCGTTACTTAGAGGTCTGGAGGGAAGAGCCTGCAGGAGCTGACGCACTGAAATTAAAAGAAACATCATCAGTCTCATTAAGAGAGAAATAAACTATTTTACAAACAATGAATGCAACAGTTTATCCATTATCCAACAGTTTAGATCCATTTAAAAATGATGTTCTTTATTTGACATGAACATGATGAGTGTCATCAGTTAAGTCTCATTCCATAAGAACAAATGAGGTTGAGAGTTGATCGGGTACAAAGCAGAGGTTTATTCCCTATTCTGAGAAGAATTCATTTGCTGCCATTCAACAAATAAAGCTCCAGTTTGGGTTTGACAGTGATTCAGGCCTTGTCTACTCTGGACATGCTCTCTCCATCCACACGACCTTTGTTTAAAAAAAGAAAAGGACTACAAACAAGCATGCCAGGCCAGTAGATGGCAATACAGTCAATCCACCATCTGTCAATGATGCTATTCCAGGCTGCAGATATGAGTGTATAAAGAGTATTTTGAAGTATTAAACACATATTGAATCAACTTACCACCATTTATATCTAAGTGAAGTTATCTTACTTACCCTTGGTGGGCGCTGCTGAAGCTGCGTTGGCCAGAGGTCTCCTCCCTGTAGCGTGGACGCCCCCTGGATGCATCCCCAGGCTCTGCTCCTCGCAGTGGCCCAGTCGGCGCAGGGCGTCGGCCAGAGCGGCTTTCAGCAGCTGGATCTCGTCTTCCTGCAGCTGCAGCCTCTGCTCCAGGTGGGACACCCTGTCCTCCATGTCCATGTTGCTGCTGGCCGACACCGTGTCATCTGCACCGGAGGTCAGAGAGCAGAGAGGGTCACAGTTTGAAACTTTACTTTGACTATTAAAGTATTAAAGCGTGTAGTTTAAAAGAGAGCAACATCTGTTCATCATACACAATATTTAACAGATTTGTAGAGAGTTTATGACGCTGATGCTGCCTGAATATTTGGACTAATTTATTTTGATATAAACACAAAGAGCTGCTTTAAGTGTTAAGAATATCATCTGCTGCTGCTGCTGCTTTGTCCACTGATGGTTTTGAGTTTCTTTGAGTGAACAGGATACTTCACTGGTTTTAATAATTCAGATGCAGAGAGAAAGAGAAGTAAAACACCAGACACCAGGTTGTGTGTTTGTTTTGTTTGGACAGTGTGGGAGGAATAATAAAAAGAAAGAGGGATGGAGAAAGAGTTGTCAACAAAGCTTTGTCTTCATCGTTGCGTTCCCATGCATTAAGCACCAAGAAGGTAGATCATGATGCTTTGGCTTCACTTGTGCAGAGCAGCCATGTCGTCTATCTTTATTTACAGTCCATGATCTCACATGCTTCATATTTGCTTTTATTTCTCTAATTCATTTCTGGGTCACGTTTATGATATATCAGGGAATCATCAGGCGAAACCTGGTTTAACCTGCGACAGGTAAAATCATTAGAATCCAAAGTAAAACATGTAACAATAATACATTGCTGTTTATTTAAATCTATGATTATTGAAACATAGAAATTTTTTAATTCCACAACTTTTTTTTTATGACGCTTTAAATGTGCTGCTGCTGACTGCAACTGCCTCAGCCCCCCCCCCCGCGTCCTCTGCCTTTATTCCTCTTGAACCTTCTCCAGCCTAATCGTCCACCATCCCATCATGATGACGTCACTGGATGGAGGCCAGATTATATGAGGCAAACTGCCCACAGCGGATTATTAATCTGAGGCTCAGGTTAACAGATTACAACCTGAGTAAGTCAAAAACTAATTTGGCCAGAACATCTCATGTGTCCTAAATCAGTTATACAACTCTGCAACATCCACGTCCTCATCGTTAGGAAGAGTCACAACTTTCAAACTCTTACACCTCAGTAGGTGTTCTTGAATAATTAGGTACTGCTTGAACCTAATTATCTGATTCTCTCTTTCAAAACTGTGTTCTTCATTACTTCATTATATATCGTGTGTATAAGAACTCTGCCTCTTCCCAAAAGACAGGAAGAAAAGTGATATATAATACAAAGCAATATAACAATAACTTCCTTACCTTTTTTCAATGCAAACGTCAAAGTGGTTTTATGTTCACAATTCAGAGCTGTGAGCTGCAGCAGAGTCAAATATTAACTTCCAAGGGGGATTTTACAGGTCACACGTCACTCCCAGCATGCATCACTTCCACACAGGAGTTACTGTTACTGTATCACATCAGTCAAATGAGGCAGGAAGGAGCCGTAGGGAAATCAAGCTTCAGATTTACATACAGAGGAGATGTTTGCATGGACCTGCCGCATAATGTTACTGATAACATCAAGCGTCTATCCTATTTTTTCTTCTTTCATTTTCTCCAACATTCTGCTAAATTATCCACTGCAATGATCAGGCTGGATTATTTAAATGACACTAAATTAATACCAGAAATCAGGTCCACAATCAAAAATGTTGCTCTGATCAAAAGCCTCAGCTACTAAGAGGAAAATTCAAATCCATTTATTACATTGGTGCTTCTTACATATATTAATAATTCATATAGTCGTGTTATTGTATTACAGAGTTTCCATAAGAGCTGTTAAGGAGGTTTAGCTTTTTTAAACAGCTGCCAGCTTGTAAAAGCTTTTCATTTGTCTTCATTATTGTTTAAATGCTGTGTCACCATCAATGGCTCATTAAAAAAATGAAAACTCAAGACAATGTAAATGAATCAGGAACGCTAATATCGAACAGAGTATTAATTCTATGGATGAGATTTGTAAATCTCCCAGAAATTCTCTTCTTCCACTCCTGAGAATGTTGAATATTCTTGCTTCAAAATCATTGCAGTCTGTCAAAGTAATTTAAGAGCAATCGAACATCTCATTCATGTGATGTCTCTAGAATCAAAAATGGGAAGAACCCCCCCACACCCAAAAGCAATAGGTACAACATTTTCAAATACAAACTGAAAGAGAAAGAAAAACAGAAATGACTTTAAGAAACAGTCATTAATAGAAGTAGGAGAGAACAGATTGTAGGTGGGAGGACTGTCAGTGTGAGAAAAGAAACGAGTAGAGAAGATTATTCATTTTAAACTGACCACTGTAATAATCCTGTTTAACCATTAAATTCACTGAACTGAACAGAGACAAAGAACAAGGAGGACAGTGACATAATGAAAGACATACAAGAGACAATTTCAGGCCTGAGATGTAATCTTTCACCCACTTTTCTATGAACTACCTCTAGAGGGCACACAAGAGCTCAGCAGTATAGCAACATATAGAGCTTTCAGATTCAGATGATGGCACCATCACAGATGTACGTAAGATGAAGACATGTATGTGACACCGTGCACCATCCCGCTGTGAACTAAATCACTGGTGACCTCTTCACTGTCTAGACTGGATTCATTCACATCAGTCTAAGCTGGACTGAGCTTTGACTTGTATACATGCACGTCAGCAGGGATTGCACTAACATCTAACTCCTGGATGTTGACTCAGCATTATTTAAGATGCATGTTTAAAAGTCACCTGCAGGTCTGTGAGCAAGAATATACAAAAACAACTGAAGAGGCTATGATGAAACTTGAGGGAAGGATGAAGTTAAAGAAATCGATACAGTTTGCAGATCCTGGAATTTCTTTCACTTTCTTTTAAATTTCAAGTTTCTCAACATTTCATTTTCACAATAATCCATGGATCTTGTTGATACAATGAATCAGGCATATTTAGGGAGCTGATTTCTATTAGTGAGTGTGTGTGTGTGTGTGTGTGTGTGTGTGTGTGTGTGTGTGTGTGTGTGTGTGTGTGTGTGTGTGTGTAACTTGGCCCTCTAATGAGCGACCTTGTTCAATAGGTAGCACTGAACTGCAACGTGCATTTACACTATGATGAACTGAAAACAGCATCCACCCGCTCTGGTCATGTGGTCATAAAATGTGGTTTGAAATGTTAAAACTTTATTGTCCTTGAGGGAAAATGTCTCTGGCAGTCTGGTAAAACTCACACAGACCTGAAAATAATAATCATGATATAGATAAATTGATAAATCACTTATTTGTCCCTGGAGGGAAAATGGTTTGCAGCAGCAATGACATTTACATTGCACCTAACGCAGTTGTGGATTGGCAGAGGTGGACATTTGGTACACACCAGCTGAACAACCTCATTTCTGTCCATGTTTAGTTTGTGTTGTGTGATAATAAGGAGAAGAGAGAGCAGGAGAGGAGGAGGATACACGAGGAGAGAAAGGGAAAGAGCAACAATGGAGAGATCAGCAGGGTTCACCTTCATCTCCTCTACTGTCAGGACACCTGTTTAAAAACACTGCCAGGCCACCTTTTTCAATTTGCCCTTGAATGAATCACTCCTTCACACATTTGCGCACGCGTGCACACACACACACACACACACACACAGTTGTAAAGTGTTACTTTAACACCAGCTCACATGAGACAGACATGGCTGCTATATTACAAACAGAGGGAGGAGGTCGGGGGAGAAAAGATGTGAATGGATGGAGAGGAGGAAGAAGCCAAGGATGGATGTGGGGGGGGGGGACGGCCATAAAGATATGGGTGATGAAACACGAGGGGGGGTGGGCTGAGTGTCTGTGTGTGAGAGCTGGACGATGGGAGGTCGGAGCAGGGCAGTAAGAAGCCTGCTGAAATATTGATGGTGCAGTGAGGTGTTGATGCAGGTGGAGCTCGTCTCACCTACCTGCCATCGTGCTGCTCACTCCTCCTGTCAATCAACCGCTCAGTCAGGCCAGCAAACAGTCAGGTTTTCCACTCGCTCTCACTCGTCCTCCCCTATAGCCTCTCTGGACTCAGACTCCCTCCCCCCTCCCCGTCTGTGACCACTGGTCGATCACTCTCTCTCTCTCTTTCTCTCTCTCTCACACACAAACTCCCATCCCCTCCAGCCGAACCACTCCCTCCTCCATCTCCACTTCCTACAAGCCCCTTCGATTACTGGAACACCTCCTTCTCCTCCCCCCTTCTCTTCGTCCCCTCCTTCACTTCTTCCATCCCTCCTCCTCCTCTGATCCGAAGCCAGAAGGGGGTGGAGCCTGGACCCACACTCACAAAAACACACACACACAAACACACTGCAGCAGCATCTCTATAGCCAGGAAGCACCAGGAAGAGACGCTGCACAGCCAGACGCCAGGATTGATGACAAACACAACACACACACACACGCACACACACACACACACACACACTTTATGACTCAGCGACATCATCACATGTGTGTCACTCGTTCTTTCACAAACCACTTTAGTTTATGATGTGTCAACCCCTCCTACAAAGTCCGGTCACCACAAACATGCACATGACCTTTCAGTTTTCAGATGTTTCAGGAAATCACCGAACTTTTAAAATATTAAGTGATTATGTTTTAAAGATTTTTGGATTCAGTAGAAATCTGCAGGTTTGTCAGACAGACAAACACACTTGTATTTTCTTTTACATTTGTGGAAAAAACACAATAAAGATTACAGCAGCGTTAAATTATACTTTATAATAATTTCTTATAAATACACACACCCCCTTTTATATATACCACTCGTACTAATAGAGATGTTCCAAATACCATGCATCCCTTCCCCATACCTGAACTTTGTTAATTGGCCAATACCGAATACTGATCTGATACCAGTGCATTTAAATAAAATACATTTTTAACTGGTGCCATTGCTCAAAACTGAAGTCTTGCATATGGCACATATTGCTGTTTCACTCATGGGACTCTGCAGTGTAAAATGTTGTCATATGTGGACATTTAAATCTGGGTAACGCCACACTACTGTAAATCACATTTTCTTTGCTGTTCTAAAACCAACAGCTGTTTTTATAGCTTGCATCTCTATGAGTGAAACTGATGCACTTTAAAGATGAGGGGTCAGATCAGTGGATTTGTGTACTCCTTGATGCCCGACCCGGCTTTTCCTGCAGTATCAGTATCAGGCTGGTATCAGCACCAGAACATGTGTACTTACTAAAGAGGCTGTAAAAGAAGGAGTAACAAACCGTATCTGAAGGACACATCGTTTAGTCTCTGGAATCATTAAATACTGTCAAATACTCGATCCGACTAACTCAGTCTGGCTCGGGTACAAAGTGCCGTGATTGACAGCTCTTGCTGCTGTACCCCTCCCACACACTGAATCAACCATCAGTCATTTCAAATTCATGCAACAGCTGAAAGAACAAACTGTACTCTGCACTGCAACACATGCACACAGAACGCATGTGTAGCACTGTGCAGGTCACACACCATCTCTTTACACTGTGAGTGTGTTCCTGGTGTCATCGCGTGAACAGGCTGCACCTAAACACCTGCACAGAGAAAACTAGAGGCACCAACAACAGCTGGTCCTCTGGACTCTGCAGGCACCGATGAGGACGACAGGCCTGAGGAGATGATGTTAATGTGAACGCTAAAGGTGCCTGGGGCTGCGGCTTGTGTAAAACTTTACATAGAGATTAAATCATTTAAGTTATTCTTAAAGTATTTATTTAATGTTTTCATATTTAAAATCTCTGTGCTAATGTTAATAAAGTGATTTATACTAAAGAGAATATGTGGGCAGGGGCAATTGTATAATACTGATATGACGTTAGTCTTGGTGTTTGTTTTAAACAGCCTGGAGTCCCAGACGGGTGGAGTTTACCTCAGCAGGCTCATTTAGATCAAGCGGAGAAGATTTTCCACTTTAGAGAATCTAAATGAACTCACTGTTTGACCGGTCATGGTACATTTGATTCACCCGAGAACAATAAAACTATAAAGACTGTTTGGCTGAAGGTGTGAGCAGGTGGCAGAGGGGAACAGATCTGATGAACGTGGACGAGCTCTGGTTACAGCGAGAGGACAGATGGTTGAGGAGCAGACCAACTGAAAGAAAAGAAAGGACGGACGCAGATGGATGGACAGAACATTTTTTAAAAATAAGAAAGACGTTGGCAGATGCTCCAACATGCAAGATGAGGAGATGTATCGACTCTGCTCTCTCTGCTGTGATACACACCTCTTCACTGTTTCCCTCTGACTTCATCTCACACTTAACACAGACCTATTTTCAGCATCATATTTCAGCAGCTTCAGAGGAACTTTTCACATGTGTTTTACTCTTCAGGTTATGATCCAAAATGGCTGAAATCTAGGGTTAGGTGTCATTTTTGTTTTTTTGTTGCAGTACTGGTGTCTTAACGGTACCAGAACTGACAAAACGACAGTTGATGATAAGAACGGCTTGTTTTTATTGCTGAAGCAAACCGGAAGTTGAAATTTAAAAGTTTTCAATTATACTTAACTTGCAGATACAAAACTCTTAACAACTTAACATGACATAATCACATAATATATTAAAACTAACCCTAATGTAACCTAAATAACAATTACAGTGCTTAATGCTGTTAATAGAGATTAGTCCAAATGTCTTCTGGTCCTAAAATCACTGTTTATGTTTTGTGTGGAGAAACATTCAAGTTGTGTGATAAAAGAAACTAGTCGAACTGAAAACTGTGTACAGAGAACAGTAGATGGAGTCTTGGCCCAAATTTGCTGTCTACACCAAAATATTTTACAAAATATTATAAAACACAAACTGTGAAGATCTCAAAACTAAGTAGATTTAGCCTGTACTGCACACTGGCACACGTGAGTACACGAGCACTCACAGAATCTGCAGAGGCACAAACCCTGATTACCCACGTGTCAGAGTGTGTTTAAATCAGCTGCGTGGTTGGATGAGAGGCTGCAGACTATTTGTGCTTCACTGTAACAAGGAGGCAGATACTGAATCTGTCTCAGCTCTGCAGAGTTTGACCTCTGACCTGCTCTCTCTCTCCTTCTGGGCATCAATACAACGACTGTAAATGTCAGAAAACACACTCAGGCCTGTTTCCCTTCACTGGTGAGGACCATCAACATTTATTTTCTGATCAATGGCCTTGAATTAATTTAAATCCTAAATGAACCATAAACCACGGTTGAACACACATATTTCTCTACACACCTCACTGGGGAATCATAACGGAACGTGTCTCTCTCCTGCCCCCTATCTGCAGGAGCTATTCAGGTTTATTCTAAAGCAGAAACGTGTTGAAATCAAACCAACAGGTAGAAACAACCAGAACAAATTAAAGGTTTTCTTTGCTCCTATATATATATATATATATATATAAGGACTTTAATGCCATTATTCAGATTTGAATAAATTACCACAAGAGAAAAACAGAGAAGGGAAGAAAAACCTGCTTCCTCCCACACTGGAAACAAATCTTAAAATAAAGCACACACCCAACTTAAGTAGCCGATCCCTCACCAGCTGTTCCTCTAAACAACCTCTGACATTTTCAACTCAACATTTTTAATTTACTTCATTCCCTCAGCTTCTGTGGAGCTCACTGAGCAGAGCTATTCTAACTGACATCGCTGGGTGAACCCTGATCCCGGCCGGGAGCTGCAGGAGACTTTGGATGACCAAATGGTTTGCATCACGGCACATGTTACAAACATCACAGTCACATCACTGTCTCTGCACCTGCCGCTCAATATGGCCGTCTGAGAGGTTAGGGACCATGTCAGAGGGAAACCTCCATTTAATTTAACTGAACTCAATGATATTCACACTGAGTTTGTTACACAAAGAGAAAACTGGCATCATGTTCAGCTGATGGAGACGTTTCTTTTTTCTCTGCCACCACAGATAGGATCAGGCCTGGTGGAGTATTTGCATTACATTTGTAAAGCAGGATGTGACAGAAAGAGAAACACTGGGCTGCAGCAGGAAGAGGAGACTAATGACACTGACACCTCAGAGAAAATAGATACGAGGACATGATCCGTCACTTTCCTCATCTGATGACAACAAGCATCCTTTCAGCTGGTTAGTGTTACAGGTTTAGACTTGGAGGAAGAAGCTCCACAAAACTCAAGAGCAAGAGAAAAAAAAAAGGATGAATAAAATATTTTTTTACAGGGAATAGTTTTCATCTTCTGTGCTAGAAACTGCTATATTACCTCGATCTCTCTCTCTCTATATATATATACACACAACAATGCTTTATGGGATTTAAAAAATAGAAAGCAGATAAAAAACAAACAACTAAAGACACATTCATTTCAGACACAAAATGGCTACATAAGGTTAATACTTTCATGCTTTTCCAAATTAAAAACCCATCATGAAAAATAAAATAGCTCTAATGTCTAAGATAGAAATGAAAAACATTTGAGACGATAAAATGACTATTATACTATAATGCATCAGGTTAGTGTGCACAGAATAATGTTTATTCCCACGTTCACTTGATATATTTATGGATCTATCTGTACATCTAAGCATGTGGGTTATTTTTCTACATCTATTATCTAGTATCTATTTATTGGCATAATCTTCATGTTTCAGCTGAGCAGCAGCAGCGTGTGTGTGTGTGTGTGTGTGTCTGTGTGTGTGTGTGTTGCAGCTCACCATTGTTGCAGTACTGTAGCAGCAGGTTGCTGCTGTCGTACAGACTCCCACACGAAGCGATCCTCTCAGACATCAACCCGCTCCTCTGTGCTCCTCTCCCCGGTCTCTGTCTCCTCTTCAGTCCGTCACCTCGTCCTTCCTCCCTCTCATTCATAGACACACACACACACACACTGACACACACAGACACACACCTGTACCTGCCTCGGGTTCCTCTCTCCCGTCCCTCGATCACTACCAAGTTGCAAACCACATGACAAACCACACTTCTGCTCTGTGCTTTCAAAATAAGAGCGTTAATGGCTGACTGCCCATCGGGAGCACCGGGACATTTCCAGGTGGGCCGGTGGTCTTGTTGTCTTGTGGCTGACAGAGCTCAGTGCACTGCTAATTAAGAGAACACTTCATCGATTTGAGGACACGTGCGCTACAAAAAGTCACAACACATGGAAATGTCAAAATGTGCAGCAAATTGCGAAAACGAAACTGGTGATGTTTCTAGGGGAAGTAAAAAAGTGATGAACCTGGCTGAAGCTCAAGGCTTCAAGAAGTTCTATCACAACTGACGAGTAGCAGACTTCAATAACTTCACAAAGCCTTGAACTACAGCCATCACTTTTATGGGTCCCACATGGTTTTTTTAGTATTTGCATGTGTTTTCTTAGTTTGCAGTGTGTTGACCTCCCCCAGAAATCTTATTTTTGAACTTGAACTGATAACCTGACCATCAATAATGTAGCGAGCAGGAATGAGTTGTCAGAACTTTCAGGCAACAGATACACTAATGACTTCAGATGTCTCTCTCTGCGACACACAGCCGCCAAAAACTACAGAAAGATTTGCTCCGCTATCTGAAATCGTTGTAGCAGCCGTGCACATTGTTCTCTTGAATCTTGACGAAAAAAATCGGACATTTTTAGGGTACGTGTGTTCAATGTGTGAAATTTGGTGCAGATCTGGATGTGGTTTCATATGGTGACTGTTAGATCTTGGAAGAGGTATAAACTTTACTGAGTGACATTCTAAAAGTTAATGTTTTGGTTGTCTCTTGCAGACGAAGCTCTACTTTCTTTTATTTTGAAGAAGACAAATCTGTGTTCCTGTTTTAATCTCTCTCTCGTCAACTTGACAGAACGTCTATCTGCCCTGCGTAAGACTGTTACTATAGCAACAGCCTCCCCACCGGCTCCGGCTCGTGACCGTTGGAAGAGAAACAGAAATGAACGTAACTCATTTATTTTATGTCATCACATTGATGTTTTATTCATTTTATTCGATTTCAGTGATGTTTTATTCATTTAATTTATTCACAGCGATTGTGTTATTTATTTGATTTAGTTTTTAATAAAATCACAGGGGTGCATTTTTAATTGTGTTTAATAACAGCGATGTTTTGTTTATTTCATTAATCACACCGTAAGTGGTGGAGAAAAGGAGGTGTGTGAAAAGACTGAGGAACTTCCGGTGTCAGATCACGTGAATCATTCATTGAGAAACGGTGCTTAGCACGCGCACCTGTTTGTAATTGATGCGATTGTGACAGACAGATCTATAGATATAGATAGATAGACACACAGATATAGATGTCGATATAGATAGATAGACACACATAGATATAGATAGATAGATGGATAGACACACAGATATAGATTTAGATATAGATAGATAGACACACAGATATAGATAGATAGATA